GGAGGTTGTTATTAATATTATAGATATAATGTTACCGTAAAAGTCGTGCAGTGGTAACCGCTCTGTAATACCCCACTGGCCGTAAGGACTACTGTAGTGGTGTTGAGTTATCATTGGTGAACGGGATTGCATATTTGTATTATATTTGCATATATACCCAAAGATATAATATGATATATTAATGTATTATATCAGTCAATATACTTATGGGCTGCCGACTATATATGAGGATTATTTCGTTCTTTATGAATGTTAAGGTAATCTTATAACTTTTTAACGTCCTGTGCAGTACATAATACGGATTTGAAATGGAATTGCACACGCACACACCTGTAATGATGATCGATTCTCTGGCAACTAATCGATTCCACTTTCGATTAAATTTTCCGTTTTCGTGTAAACTGCTATTTCTAGGCTTACGGATCCGACTGGGACGTTGTCGAACGGTCCGTTTAACTATTCGCGGAATATGCGCTGCGTATGGCTAATCGACGGTACGTTGAGCAACGCCAGTCGCATATCCGTTCAGGTGGAAGACTTCGACACGGAATGCGGGTGGGATTATTTGTACGTGTATGATGGCGACGGTGTTTATGCCAAACAACTGGCGGCGCTCAGGTAAGAATGAGCATGTTCGTTGTAACGAGAAGGAAAAGCTCAGTGATAGAAGATACTTTAATACTATTTTAATAAATTATCAGGCCAGCTCAAAAATCTTGTGATTTAGTGTCTGTAAGTAATAACCATTACTAAGGTTTCCTTCAACTTCCTTTTTTAAAGTTTATAACGACTAAGCTAGTACACTTTCGACTTTTGCTAATTTATGATGGCCTTTCAGCGGTGTGTTTCCCCGGGACAGTTGGAGTTCGAAGAGGGAGTTCGTAGCTCACTCAGGGCAGGCGTTCGTCTATTTCAGCAGCGACATCGCATTCAACATGTCCGGATTTAACGTAACTTACCGGTGAGTGGTAAGGAGGTTACATTGTGTAGTAATCCTCCTGTTTCGATTTTCAGGTTCAATTCGTGTCCAAACGACTGCAGCGGCAGGGGCGCGTGCAACGAGGATACTGGCGAGTGCTATTGTACCGAAGGCTCTGACTATGACTGTAACTTGCCGCCATGCAACAGGTTCTGTGAAAGTCGGTACGGCAAGTGCCAGCATGAGGGTGTTAAGGAATGGTGCGCATGCAACAGTAAATTTCGAGGTGAGCACTAAATTGTTAATGAGCGATAAATGAGTTCACGATCGAGGTTAGGTTAATACAAGCACTGCTCTGCCAAACTTACCTTTTTCAGGCCCTTTTTGCAACTTCACGGCCGGCGAAGCTGTTTGGAACATAATGAAGGACGAAATGCCATTTGGCGTAGCTTCGCACGCCGTTGCTGTCACCGAACATTACGCGTGGGTGATTGGAGGGATATCTTTTCAGAGTTTTGATCGCATTGTTGTGTTGAGGTAAGTGAAATTGTCGAGTTGACAATTTTGCCTTGCAAATGTTTTCCCGTCACGATCGCTTTAACTTAGGTATGACCTGATTCATGACAAATGGATGAGCATGGAAACTTTTAGACGTCCCGCAAATCGATACGACCATACCATATTTCAATATAGCGTAAGAGATTATTGCTAAGTTATTACTTTGTTAATTTTCCGATAGTACTACTAACTGACATCAACTTTGTGCTGTTGAGCGACTCCCCAAATGGCCCGTTGGTATTCACTGAAAACATGTACAACACCGATTTATCAATGAAGCTATGAATCAGCAGCGAAGAATCATGGATTATAAATGCCCCTACAACAACCGATAGCTAGGGAATGTTTTACAATAATGCGGTTATAACGGATGTTGACCACATCAAATTTTCTGGAACGGTTTTGACTACCGATGGCAGAACCAATCCTGAACTGAGCAGGTACGGTGAACTGTTACTCGTATGGTAGAATTAAAGCTGTGTGGAAAATGGAAAGGAGGACTATAAGCGCAACAATGAAAATAATCATGTTCACGATTCTCATTTATGATCTGAAAGCACTTATGCGCCGAAATGTCATGAAGTTCTTCTTGACAAATTCAGTTTTTTTAAGTTTTCTCAAAGTGCTATGGCATACCATCGGGTTACTGAGGCGGATGCTGATGGTCAGCGGTCTGAAAAATTGTCAGAGGAAATCAGAATCCGGTGACTAGCTTAGTTTGATCAAGCAGGTTTAAAAGGAAAGGCGACAGTGTTCGAAACGTTTCTCCTTTGGAAATCGTCTTCCGGCGGCAGCGCGTACGAAAGTCATGTAGAACTTGAAAACGCATCGCTGAAGTAGACCCGTTTCAAACAAAAATATGACACTTTTTACAATTGTGAACGATATCTGCGAAGATCTGAGACACAAGTCGTGAAGGTGGGGCATCCTGATTCGGAGGTTTAGGTAAATTTGTTCGCGCACATTTGCTCGAAGCACAGTTGATCGTCTGTACAGCTGCTGTACATGTCATGTGTTATGGGCGCGAGTTCGTCGAGTAAACAATTGTTATAGCATCTACAGTAATTTGAACGGATAATCGTCAGGAAATGTCTCTGTAGCTGATTCAAATAACGACGGGGATTCCAGAGTTACTGCTCCTGGGTCACTTGTTTATCAGAGACAAGGACATGAAAGAAAAGATAATATGGAAGTTCCAACTCTGTCGGAAGAACAAATATTCCATGTTGCACATTGATATTGTTGAATGTGGTCATTTTATCAATCGGGACACAGCCACGATGCTGCTTCTGCCAAGGCAGAAGTAGGGAAAATTATTGAAGAACTGAAGGAACGCGCCATAATGTCTCAGGAAATTGAAAAATTGAAAATCCATGAAATTGTGGCCTTAGCCTTTTTTAGAGCAGCAGTTGGAAAATTGGGATTTCTTGATGCAGTGATGAATGCCTGTTAATTTCTTCTACTAAGCATAATTTGCGACTAGTGTCGCAATTATCCAGCTGCTGTGCGGATGGAACCTTTAGAGCTACCTCAACTGTTTTAGCAGCTGTGCACGAGAGAGGTGCTCCAACGTCACACCATCGGTATTTGCCTTGCTGCTGAACAAAACGGAGGCGAGTTATTTGCGAATATTTGACGCCTTAAATTATCTGAAGCCAAGTTTTGCACCTCAGTCGATATTAACTGATTTCGAGCATGAGGCCTTTAAATTTCCAAACGTCCTGCAGCGCGAGTGCTTTTTCACTACGGCCAATGCAGCTACTTAAGCATTCCTGTGAATGGTCTCCAGCAAAGATACCCTCCCGATGCTATCTTCACTTTAAAAAGCTGAATGCTCACAGCACTTTCCTTCCTGCCAGTGCAGCACATACAGCGAGAATTTAAAATCGTTTCAAAAATGAACGATTACCCTGTCGAGGCGAA